AGCCTGGACTGAGAGGCGCACGCGTGCGGCCGCTGGCGACAGCGCAGGAAACTCGCTCGGGCCCCGCGCTTCGTAGACCTGTTGCCTGTCCGGTGCCAGCAAGCCCGCTGTTCTCCGAGAAACCGGCGCGCCCACGGGGCTGGGCCGGACCCCACAGGTAGGATGGAGGTGTTGACCGGAAACCTGGATCTCGGGGCGCCGGGTGAGGGGCGCCATCAGCCAGGGGGAGGGTCTGTATCCCCCAGGCAGGTGGGGGGGTGTCCCCGGCCACCCCTCCCCCAGTTCCCAGAGTCCCGATGGTGTCATCTGCCCCGGGCTAGGGGGCTGGCAGGAGAGTGGGAGACAAGGAGGAGGGGTGGGCTCTCCACTGAACCACCTGCCGCCCTGTCTTTGCGGTGGGATGCGGGGCTCAGCTGGTGCCTGATGCCTCACACCCCCCCCCACCTGAGAGCGCCCCTTCAAGCATTGTCTTTGGGGACTGGAGAGAGCGGGAAACACGGCCCCTCCATTCCAGATTTGCTGCTCCTGCATCCCCCCAGGCCCCTTCCAAGGCCTCCGAACCCCCCCTGCAGCTGGACAGCCACTGTGAGCGTGGGGGTGGGGGAGGAGGCCGAGTGGGCGGGCAGATGGGAGGCTGGGGGAGGGCAGGGCTGGGGGCAGCCTGAGGGGACACGGGGACTGCGGGTGGGCGGCAGCGCCAGTCTTCATCTCTGTCTAGCAGGAGTGTGGAGGTGGTGCCGTGCCCTTTCTCAGCCTGATCAAGACACAATCACTGCAGGGTCCCCTGCGCAGAGCCGGCCTGAGGAGCAGCGCCCAGCCAACACCTGACAGGTAGCCATGGAGACGGTCCAGCCAGGGGGCTGGAGGCAGGGGAGTGGAAGGACGGGGCCTCCTGGTGGGGGGAGGTGGGGGAGTCCAACATGGGGAAGGCGGTGGTCCCTGGGCACAGGAGCCTCCACACCACACGGGGAGGAGAAGAATTTCACCTATTGGGGGGGGGGGCTGGAGCAGGACGGATTCAGTAGGAGGGGGAACAAGCTGGCCCTAGGTTTGCTCTCCCCCACCTCTCAGCAGGTGTCTCCAAGACCTGACGCCCGGTGATGGTGGGGGTGTGAGCCCAGAGGACCTAATCAGAGAGGAGTCTGGGATAGGGTAGGGGTTCTGAGGTCTAGCCACCCCTGAAGCAGGATAGGAGATGCTACAGCGGACCACCAGGAGGGCATTCTGACCTGAGAAGGACATGAACCCCCAGCGGAGCCACAGGCCTCCCAAACCGAAAGGAACCAAGGGCTCCTGGGGGTGGGGGCACACACCCAGGGACTTGGGCATTGATGGTGGGTTGTCCAGGGGAGAGGGCGGCTTTCTCTGGAGCCATACTGTCATCAGGAGGGTGAAGGGATAAAGCCGAGGTGGGACGGGGCTGAGGTTCATGTCTTGACCTCTCTGTCCCCAGGCTCAGCTCCCACCTTCTGAACACGCTGCAGCATCTTCTCAAGATGGGCTTGTCCTGGTCCTGGAGGCCCTGGGCATGCTGCTACCTGACGTGCCAGACGGCCCCGAGGGAGCCGGGGTCCAATCCTGGGCCCCCCACTCCCGCCCATGTCTCTGGTGCTGGTTGTGAGAAGCCCAAGTGCCCAGAGGCCCTGGTCCTGGAGACGGTAGCCGCCTGGGCGGCCCAGGCCCCGCCAGGCCCCATCTCCTCAACGTCCCTCCTCAGATACCTGGAGGAGGACCTCCGCTTGTCTCAGTACAACCAGTGAGGCTGGGCGCCTCCACCAGGGCCCCTGCAGCCCCCATAGTCAGGGGCCCATGGCTTCTATCCTTGTACCAGTCCCCCAGGAGCCCCGAATCTAAGTGGCCCTTGTCATCCACCCAGGAACACTTCTGGGGACTTGTCAGCCTGCTTTTTCCATCCACAGATCCCAGAGTGGGGTGGGGTGAGGTGGGCGGCCTCAAGAAAGAAGAGCCATTCAGGGCCCCTGAGCCTCCTGCGGCTGCCCACAGATGTGGCCTTTCAGACCCAGGCATCTCTGTCTGGGTGACAACCCTGAGCTCCAGCCTCTCCTGGGGACCATCTGGGAGGGAGGCCCGGAGAATGTCCTGCTACCCGCTCTGGGGGCCTGAGTGTGTGAGTGTGAGAGGCAGAGAGAAAGAGTGTGTGTGTGAGAGAGAGAAATGATCCACCTGGGAGGGAGGCCTGGAGAATGTCCTGTTTCCAGCTCTGGGAGCCTGAGTGTGAGTGTGTGTGTATATGTGTGTGAGAGGATCCATCCACTGAGTGTGCTTATAAGTGTGTGTTAGGGAACTTGTTTGAGTAAGGGTGTTGGTGTGAGTGTGTGTCTGTGAGGGAGTGTGTACGCATGAGTGTGCTTATTAGTCTGCAGGCGAGTCCATGTGTGTGAGTCAGAAGGTGTGCTTATCTGTCGGGGTGTGCATGTGAGTGGGGGTTGTGTGTGTAAGAGTGTGTGCGTGTGTGAGGTTGAACTGAGCTGCTTGCAGGGGGAGTCTCCTGTACATGGGGGTCCCCTCGACCTGCTTGGGGCCTCAAATCCCCCTTGCCCCCAGGAGGACTCTCTGGCCTCTGATGGTCATCCCCCCTCCCCACACTGGATCCAGACGGTGTCCTGGCTCCCAAGAATTGCCTGGGGAGGGGCAGGGACAGTCCCAGCACCCCATTGACCACCCTCCCCCACCATTTTGGCCTTGAACAGTTTGTGGGCTTCTGCTTGTCCTCTCTGGGCTCTGGCTGCCTGAGGGCTCGCCCTGCACTTTATTTCTTTGCAGTTTTGTGTTTCTTTGTGAGATGAACTCTGTTCTGGTTCGCACAACCCGTCTGGGAGAAAAATCCTCATTTCTGCTGTTGTCAAATCTTGTTGAGCCTTTAAAGGAAAATAAAAATTCTCTGGTTCAAATGGAAAACAATGAG